ATTTTGGTGACTGTCTTCCCATAAATACCAAACCATGTTTTTGTTTTAAATCAAGTTTGCAGAGGCTTTGTTTAGTAAAAAAGGCTGCTTGAATAAAAAATTAGCAGGATTTGATTATTTTTACCAATACTTAATGTACAGTTTTATAAGTATTGAAAGAAGCTATAATATAACTAATGGTAAAACTGGTGAAGTTGAAAACCCATAGGCCTTGGCCCATATTTGTATATATTTGGTGCAGAAAAAATCTATTAAACTCTGTTGTTACAACATGTTTTGTGTCTGTATATTTTGCCAGCTTTGCTGTCTAGTCTTATGTTAGTGCTCATCTTATGGTTTGCCCAAAGATAATTAAGTATAAAAGATGTCTGCAGCAATTTTGTATTAGAAATATGCAGAGAATTGTTTTAATATTATTTCTTTAAAATAAAGATTTTAGCAACTTTTTTGCAGTAAGTATATTGAAGCTTATATACTAATATGTACAGTACACTACTGTTGTGATCTCATTGTAGTCTTTATAAAAGATTATTTATAATTATTGTTTTTGTGGGGGCGTCTCGATAGTCCGAAGGTTCATTGGTCCGAAAAGTGGTAACATTTTCATCGATTTTTCGTTCAAGGGTTCATTGGTCCGAAGGTTCTATAGTGAATATTCGGACCAATGAACCTTCGGACTATTGAACCTTCGGACTATTGCTACGGCCCCGTTTTTGTTGCTTACTTTGTAATATTGTAACTTTTGTTAATTTTTTTAATGAAATCGATCAAAAGACAAGGCATTTTCTTATCTTAAATATCCAAAGTTATTTATTGGGTTAGCTTGCCTAAAGTAGTGCTAATGAACTACAGTGTAATAGTGGATAAAGCAAGTCAGTATGATGACTGAATCATCACATTGTTAATGCCTGTTATAAGTACTGGTACCTAGTAAATTCCCACCTGGTAATTCTGGAGCTGTTTGTAATCAAAGAATGTTTATTTATTTAATTAAGCTCATTAGTGCAGATTTTTATTTAAGAGAAACTGGGTTGAAGTTGTAAAGAGGCATACATAAAGAGAAGGGATAAAGAGAAATTAAATACTAAGAAAATTTCAGACTCCTATAGCTGTTTGTTATATTTTCTCTCTTATGCCTCATTGAGCATATTCAGAAGAGCAGACTAACAGATCCGCGGATCAAATATGACGACTCACTAAAAGCTTGCCACTTAATTCCTGATTAGACACTGAATAGATTCCCCATGGGGATTAAGCAACAAGCATTAGCATTTAGTGGGTCGTCATGTTTGATCCAGGGATATGTTAGCCTGTTGTTCTAAATGTGCTCATTGACAAATAATATCATACAGAACCTGGGTAGGGGGTAAAACTTATGCTTACAACAGGTATGTATACAAAACTGATGAAGGATACTTGGTAAATAAAAATTTTCCAGTTTTTCACCACTTGAGAGTTACTTTTACACTTGCTGTCATATTGAAGATATTTCATTTACATACATAACCCCAACCAGGTAATATGATGTGACTATTGTATTCATCAGTGCAGTGGGGATCATAGTTGTATATGTGTCTGTAGTCTCATATAGAAATCACTGAACACACTGTGGACATGATATACAGTGATGAGAGAGAGCATTTTAAAAGCAGCAAACTACAGTCTCTTTGCAGTAAATTTCAGGCTTTTCTTTCCTTATGAAATATGTACAAAGTACATATACATTTACTCGGGGGAATTTTTAATGCACAAATGTAATTAAAAAGTACTGTGCAGATTTTTACAAATACAGTTTTGTAAGTCTGAAAATTAAATTGAAAGTCTACAATGCAGTTTTTGTCACTTTTTGAGTTTATCATACTTATATTATTTTAGGTAATTATATGATTTCATCAACTGTATTCATAACCTTCAATTTTAATGCACTTCTTGAAATGTATTTGACGTTTGTTTTTCTGAGAATTATCATTTCAACATTGTCAATGTACCAACCAACTTTTAATTATAAATAAATATTAAATAATATTATTATTATTTGTTGTTGTTGTTTTATATATATATGACTGCGTAAGAATATTTAGGTCTAAGAACTCAGTCCCAATAAAAATAAGAGTGCATTCAGTGCTTTATCTGTCTAGGTAGATCAGTTCAGGGGGACTCTTGCTGAATGTAATCAGATTAAGAGATTAGCATACCACCCCCTAGCTTTGAGTAGAAAATGGAAAACAAGCATGTTATAAACAAAAGGAGGCGAGCCAATCCAATTGCATTCAGCAAGAGTCCCTGTGGAGTTGGATCGATTTACATAGATCAATAGTGTTATTGGGAATGAGTCCTAAATTAAGGCACTAGTAGATATGTCAGTGGCAATACTAAGATGAATAAAAATAAAATGATAAAAAGAAAGTGTAGTGATAGTTTCTAATATGATTCTTTTACTTCCAAAAGTGTTTTATGCAGTTCAAAATTATAACAACGGAAATAACAGATAATTGGGGACCACTGAAAGGCTAAGTATATTGCAAACTTTTAGAGATGTAAAAAAAAAAACTAGGCCACATCTCCAGTTTCTTTCTGCAGTATGTTGCAGATATCATGTCACCTCTCTATTCCATTTTGTTCTGTCTCTTCTTAAAATGTCACAAACTGTGTAAACTGTTCAGCTTTTGGAAAAAACTGTACATGTACATTTAAAAAAAACTTTGTAAAACTATACTCCACCCCCCCCCCCACCCCACCCCGGAAATCACTGAACCATTTTTAACCTTTAACGTCGTCAAACACAGTGATACTTTAAGTCCGTTTTTACTTTAACATTTGCTCTGTTTTATGGTTATTTTGGCTAATGGGGCTTTGGGGTCACTCCCTCTTCTGTGTTAACTTAATACAATGGGTGTTAATGTATTGCTCTAATGTCCAACCTTGTTAGGGTAAATGCATTTTACCTAAGATGAATAACTCGTTTATATTTTTAACCTAATAGGTAAAACAATCGATTCATATTGTGTAATTCGGTTTTATCTCCTTTAACCCTAAAAGGTGGAGATAAAAAGCTCCATAATAAGCCTTTTAGAAAGGTTTATCCCCCACCCAAAAAAAGTGCCTTTATTGGAGTAAACAGCACCGCGCTCATAGAGAGCTAACCCAGGATTTCGTGCTACTGACATCGGGCACGCGCAACGTGTTTTGAATTTGAGTCCGGGCGTCTAGTTTTTGGATCTATTTGACAGTGTCTCGGACTTGGTATAAAGTTAAAACAACGTTGAATTTAAGAAGACTTCTCACGAAAGTTGCTTCTACAGGACTTCATTGCGGAAGTCTCAGCCTTTTGTGAAGCACTAGCACTTACTGGTACATCGTCCCTGTCACGGCACACTACGCTACAAGGCCGAAAAGACGATGTTTTTAAAATGTACGCGTCACCCTGTCCACTCCCACATCAGACCACGTCTGTCCCACTTCAGTGTGACTTCTGCTGGTCTTTTCTAGCACTAAGACAGGGTAAATCTGAAAAATTTTCTATAACAGTTGTTTTCTGAGGCGAAATTTGATGCTGACAATCATTTATTTCTGCAACAAATATTTAGTTTGTTTCAAAATGGCAGCCAAAACAGCCAACCTAGAATTTCATCAACAACAAGTTAAGGTACTGTAGTGTGTCATATGACTTTATAATGTTTTAAGGATTGCAAAATCCATTTCTGATGTTAATACTGAAATCGGGACATTTTACAGTGAGTTCAGTTACCATGTGAGCTGACAGTTAACTGTCAAGCTAGACTGAAGACCCAGAATCTTCGATAATGGGGACAATGAACCACCTCAGTCATCTAGATCTATCAAAATGAGGAGTGATAAGAATTCCCAATTCCTCAACATCTGTTGGATGGGAATTATAAAGAAGAATCAATTATCCTTGCCAAAAAGTGAATATTTTATAATTGTGATTCTTCCTTATAATTCACATGCAGGAGAACTTGAGATATCTAATTACTCCTTGTTTAGACTGACTGAGATCTGGCTTAGCTTAACAGTAAACTATCAACCAACAAGGTAACCAAACTACATTTATAAGGTAAAAACATAAAAAAAGGCATATTACAAACTAGGGGGCGTTTAATTGGCGATGTTGCAACTCTTGTTAGGGACTTTTGTATGCCATTTTGAAAATCGTTCATTTACCAACCTAAATGGCTGTTTTGAAAATAAATATAGTTGCACATGTGTGTTTAGCATCATTTCCTGCCATAGAAAACGCTTACTTATCAAAAAATTGTGCTTCACCCAACCCTATTCAATACAGGTATATACACGCATGTGGTTACTATAGTTACTGTAAATGTAGTACATATGCTTTGTATGCGTTTCCAAAAATATTGAAATTACCGACCTAAAGAATGCTCCTCTAAAATCACTTGTTCCTTGAGAGATTTAAAAAAAAGTTATTATAATACCCTACCCTAATGGTGTATATATATATGAGCTTCAGTTTGATGCCCTATACATATATTATATTCGATCAAAAGCCTATGAAAATAGATTTTTAAATCTCTCAAACAAAATTAGTTTTAGGTGCAAAAATCGTTTATTTCGACTCACCGCTTAAGTAAAACTTTTTAACGTCCGACACTTCCTATAGCATTGTAGGCTATGGACACTATACAAGAGTATGTAGCCAATATGTTTTTTACCTCGTAGTTACTTTTTCGTAAATTGACGGGGGGGGGGGGGGCAACTTACCCCGGGGTCCAACTTGCCCCGGTCTCCCCTATATAAGACTTACATTTTTATAAGACATCTTTTTACTACGTTGTAAGTAATAAAACATTTAAATCCACAATGTATGAATAAATGAGTAACACGTGTCACATTCACCATAGCCAAGACATTGAAGACCCGCATAGACGTAATAGTCCTCGTTAATTACTCATGATTTTACATCCCAATTTATAAACCACGATCATCCACGTACATTGTATATAATAGCGTAACAAGCGAGTCTTTGGCAAGGCTGACGTGGAAGTATGGCGCGTTTAATACTAGTACAGCGTTTAATTGCTGTTGGATCTTTATTTGCAGTCTGTTCTTATCTCGTAATAGTCAAACTATTTAACAAGGATATTCGGAGTAATGGGGCGCAGAAAGGTGAGTTTGTGACGAACTTTGCTCTACTTTGGCTGCAGAAAGTCTTGATCGTCTCCTTATTCTTTATCTTTCGGGCCTGTCCCCTTTTCAGGTGTCGCCACAGCGGATTGTACGTCTCCACCCACACCGGTCCTGCGCATGGTCATCTTCCACGCCCATCTCTTGCATATCTTCCTTGATTGCATCCATATATCTTTTTATTGGCCTCCCTTGTTTCCTCTTTGCTCTCTTTCCTGGTGGGTTCATTGCCAGCATTTTTTTGTCCCATTTATTTTTCTTCCCGCCGTCTAAAATGCCCATACTGGTGTAGTCTCCACTGCCTTGCTTAAACTGCCTTTACACTGGGCGACGTCCATTCTGCGTCCCGTAGTTAATACTTAATTTGCTTAAAAACAAATTCGCGGATCTATAATTCTCTTAATATTTATATTAGAGGCACATTGGTATGCGACACATTTTGAATCAAAACAACATCCAGATATAAAATTAACAGAAGTAAAATTAACTAAATCAAGTAATTTGCTTCCATAATAAGATAATATACATGTAATTCAATGGTTTCTCAAGGAACAATGCATATCTAATGTTACACTCACTTTGCGTATTTCAGACTACTCCTCGGATCTTAATGGAGATTTACAGATGGAAAATAATCAGGTAACATTTCAGGGGAGGATCCAGAATTTTATGAAAGGGGGTTCGGTTTTTAGGGATCGACAGGCCTCGCATTGCGAGGCCAACCCTCACCCCCTTGGCGTCAGGTTCGGGGCACGCTCCAAGACCCGAAAAAAAAAGGTGTTTTGGAGGGAAAATGAAGCCATTTAGTGTGGTTTAAGACTGATTCAGCTAGACGATATTTGAGCGTTTTTTTTTTTAAATCAGAAAATTAAACGGGGGCCAGGACACCCCTGACACCTCCCCCCCCCCCCCCCCGCCCTAAATCCGCCAAGTTGGCCAGTCAATAGGAGCGGTCAGATTGACATCAACTGCCTTGTGACTTTGACCGTCACCATCACAGAAAAGGCAGAAGGGCGCGAGTGAATATTGTTGACCAACCAAGCCAAGTCCCTTCAAACAAAGCCAAGGTCAAATTGGTCTTATTGCCGGCAACATATGCTTTGCTATTGGTTAGAAAGCATAAATTGTTCCGAAAGGACAAGGAGTTCTGCTTTTTACGGACCACTTAAGAAAATTTGGCACATTTAATATGGTTAGCGGTCTTCCATATTTATTAATTCATACTTCTTTTAACAAAATCTATCAATAGAAAGTACACTCGTGAAAATGGAAAGGGTTTGAAATAATATCAAGAGACACCTTATGGTCTAATAATCCTGACTTCTTTTGAGCAGCACCAGTGCATATTACTACCAGGGGCGGATCCAGAGATATTTTCTGTCAGTCCTCCAAATTATCTTTGCATCCATCCTCCATTTTTAACGTCTTCCAACAGAAAAAAATTAGATATCCGTCAATGTAAATCTGACCATCTTCCGGAAGACCCAGAAGACGGCCTCAATCCGCCCCTTACTACTGGCATGGATCCCGAGTGGTCAGATTGGACCCTTTCAGTATTCTGAGAGAACAAAGATTGACGTATGACTTGTTCTGTCTACTTTAGATCCGTTGTAAATGTCACTCCATAAAATAAAAACCATTTGCTTTAAGTATTGTTATTGGTGCGACTGTTGCAAAGGTTTTAAGAAATTAAACGATTTCTTTTTAGACAAGTATGGGCCAAAGTCAATCTACGCATTCTCGTTTGGATAATGTGGAACTCAGGGATGTGTCTCTTTTTGGGAACCACCGACGGGAGAAAGGTACAAAATGATACCCTTTCTTACTTTCTTCCTTCATTCGGCCTGCTCCCCTCTCTCTCCATCTCTCTCTTATCACCTTACATAAGATATATATCGAAACAACACCGCAAGAAAATTTTTGATATTAAATGGAAATGCTAAATGTTTTAATAAAACAGATGCAACCCCTTTTCCGTTTTCTCGTAATGTTTCAAATCCGTGTATTAAGTTTTATAATAGGAGTCAGTGCTGATTTTAACAAGTCTGAAGCGAATACTTCAAAAGAAAAGACTTCATTCTTTATCAGCAGAACTGTTCGATTACGTGGCCTTCATACTATGACAATCCAGACGAACTGAAAACTTGCTTTCAAATGCCTTTGTCACCATTAGATTGTAAAGTATATAACATTAACTAAATTCCAGGTTTTCTTACCATTGGCATCCCGTCTGTCAAACGACCACAGGGAAGTCTGTATCTGTTGCAGACGATTGCCTACATAATAAACAGGACGTCTGCAAGTGAGAAAGAGAACATTGTATTACTGGTATTCCTGGCAAATTTTGATACAAAATATAATGAAAATGTCTTGAAAAATATAAGCGCCAAATTTGATGACTACATCAAGAGTGGATTTATTCTAGTGATGCAAGTCCCTGAAAACAACTACCCCCCATTAGAAAATTTGAAAAGGAATTATAATGATTCTCTGGGAAAAGTAAAATGGCAATCAAAACAGAATGTTGATTATGCTTTTATGTTTCTGTACGGAAGAAATATTTCAGAATACTATATTCAGATTGAAGACGATGTGATTCCCGCTCTTGGATTCTTCGAAGACATACGTGCCTTTATTTTAGCAAATGACAAGAAGCCATGGGTATGCTTAGAATTTTCAGTTCTTGGATTCATAGGGAAATTGTTTAAGTCCAAAGACTTGGAGAAACTTGCAAGGTATTTGATTTTATTTTATGACGAGCAACCTTGTGATTGGCTTATTTTCCATTTCCTAAGGACAATGACTCAGAAGGGACATATTTACTACAAGCCGTCTTTATTCCAGCATCAGGGTGTATGGTCTTCTTCGGAAGAAAAGTCGAGGAAAGGACCTACAATATTGCTTGACATTTACTTCAAAGACGGTAAAAATAATTAGACAATAAGTGAAAAAGGAAAAGTGAAAATTAAAATTCCACGTTAAAATTCTCTTTACCGTACGTGGTTCTAAATTTGTCGTAGTGGGTATGACATTACTATTTGAATTTATTGGGCTTGAACATAGAGGGGAGCTTTACATGTGGGGGATCATATGAGCTAATTTTGGTAATTATGTATAGATTCTTGCTCTGATTTGTCATCATCATTATGCCAATAGTGCAGAATTACGCTCATATGTTTGTCTTGATCTCGTGTTCATTCCCGAGTAAATATTTTACTGAGCATCAAATACAGCAGAAAAATGATGTTTAATAAATGACAATTTTAAATGAAATATTTGAGCATTGCTGTTCTTAAATCATCTTAATTCATCTTATTCATCTTAATTCATCTTTTGGAGACAGGGGCGGATTGAGGCGGTCTTCTGGGTTTTCCGGAAGACAGATTTTCCAGTTTACATTAATGGGTCTCCATTTTTACTGGTGAAAGTGTGAAAATGGAGGATGCATCAACAAAGATAATTTGGAAGACTATCAGAAAATATCTTTGGATCTGCCCCTGTAAATCCGGTACTAATATATATCTTGAAACAACCCCAAACAATTAACTCTACACCGAAAAAAGAATAATGTTTCTTGCTAGTTTAATCCAAATTAAGTGCAACGTCCACGTTTTTCCACTACAACAAACACAAAGACGGTGCTTCAGAACATCAACATTTCTTGTTCATGTGTGTAATAGACATCTTAAAAACCCTCCCCCCTTTAGTTAACAATAAACCGGTGTCTGGACTTCTGTGTGTAGATGACCTGGTTCTCTTTTCAAATAGCCTATCAGGTCTTCAATACAGCCTTAACAATCTGGAAAAGTAAAATCCGGAGGCTTTCCACAAACCTTGTCTTTAACACTAGTAAAGAGAAAACCACAGATTGTAGTGTAGAAGGTAAAGACACATTTTAAATAGACTGTAAATTATTATTGCGTCTCTTTATAACTAATCTCCCCACCAAACCTGGTAAATTTAGAGCAGCATAAATTAACTCAAATGTGCGTATTAAGGGACTAGACTTCTCAAATTATTGCCAATAAACTCGACCAAATGCCACCATGTATAGTTTCATATCGTTTAACTTCAAGAATATCCACAGGGTTTCAGAACTGGAGAAACGGATAAATATATCAAGTTTACGACCAGAAATATAATAAAGGTGCAGTTTTATAGTTTTTTCGGCTGATCGGGTAATAAGTTTCATTGTGGTTTCTTTTGTTTCAGTTGTGTAACAGGCCTACCCAACTACCAGACTCGGCACCGAATGATCCTGAATTCACCGGTAAATCGGACCACACTACCCGTTTTCAAGGTGTGTATCAGTACGCATTTCACAGTATCAGACGCGACACCGCTCTTGTCTAGTACGCGATGTGATAGTGACGATTCTCAGCGGGGTTGAAAAGCATTGCATCACCACTCAAAATTTGTTCAGGGTATGATACTGTGTAATGCGTATTGTCTGGTAGTTGGGTAGGCCTGTGTAAGAAGCTGGTAGTAGTAATTTGTATGCGTTACAGAAAATGTACACAGTTACTCTTTCGCTTGATACGCATCTTTAAAAGAAAAAAAAAAAAAAACTTTTTTCCGACGAGTCTCTGTTGGAAAGCTTCTGTTAACAACTTTTGGCTGCATGTCCATGCCAAAATATCGAAGCACGAAGTTGGAGGAGAAACAGGAAGAACTACTCCTTATATTGAAATGTAAAAATGCAATTAACGAAATTTTGGCATAATACAAAGATGTTGAATGACAGTAATTTTTTTTTTTTTTTTGATATGCGTATCCATATACATGTAGATGAATTAAATATTAGAAATTCCTTTCAACTCAAAGCAAATATAACCTAAAATCATGAAGCTCTAAATTGAAAAGAGATTTGGAGATTTATGGTTAAAACAGAAATCACCTAAAAGCTAACACTTTCCAGGAAAGCGTTAGTAGCTGCTTTAAACAAAACTGGTATACATGTAGTGAACTTGAGGAGACGTCTGAGCTAAGAACCTTTAATTAATTAAATGTATTTAATAAGAAAAATATCTTTATGTTGTAATGGCTGATGAAAACAGAAAAGCACTTCGTTGTGTTCGCGCATATAAACTTTGCATTGATATAGGTTGATACACAAGCATTTAACTTCACTGGTGTCACAATGAAATTCAGTAAAAAGCACGTTTTTTCTCCAGCTTGTATCCGAGGGCCGAGACACCAGTCAATCAATGCACAGCTTCAAGTGTGTTATTTATTTTTTTTTTTTTGTCGACCCCCACCTCCCCATTCGTTATTGTTATAATTTTTTTTCTGAAGGGTTATCCCCGCTCCTCACTAATATTCTGCCTCCTCTCTGCCGCTTTTATAATCGTTTGGTCAAGTTGAGAGTGGTCAATTTGGTCAACTTTTTATGATGTCTATATGTTATAGTGAGGAATGACGACAGCAGTTTAGAGCTTTCGAACGTTTATTCACCGACTCTCTCTTCATACAACTTCACAAATATTTATACTCAGTTTCTTCGTACTGATCACGCATTTACTTGTTTTCTTTTCCATTGTCTTTGCGTGATTACAAAATATTTTCCATTCGCATGTTGCAAGTCACCATGCAACATTTCCTTATTAGGTAATCCCTAAGATACTTCTTTTCAATTAAAGATATCTAAAATATTATTTGGATTACTCATGCTTGGATCTTATCCAAAACTCAGTTATCATGTGATAAATAGATGATAAAAATTAAAATATGTTATGAAATTAACCAATCACATTAACTGTTACTGACTTTGACCTTTTCCATCTTTTTCTGACACTTAAAACATGTTCTACACTTGTTCACTCTTGGAGAAACTTAACTTACACTCAATAACTCTTTGTCCTTTTACTCTTTTGATTCCGCTTTAATTGTTATCTGCAATTAGTGAAAGAGTAAGTAATTTGCTTTACAACATACACCCCTTCTTCAAAAGAATTCGTCCTCGAATTCTAAAAATTTACAACATATAGTTTGGGCCTTGTAGTTCTTTACATTTTGATACAATGCAAAGGAAATCGTTTGCATAACTCTGTAAACTGATTGTTTTGTGATTTCTTTTTATTTTTTCTTATGTGTTCATATGTACTGATGCATAAATAAAAATGTCAGATATACTTGGTACAAACTCTATACAATATGCATGTACGACATCATGTTTTAAATGGGGTGTGTTGATTTTAATAACCTTATTCATTTGGGATGAAAATCCATAGACAAAACAAGATGGTTTGTTTATACAATAACCTGATGGTAACGTTTTAGACCTGGTAAAAACGCATCGTGTCTTCTCTAACACAATCCCACGACAGTGCTATTATTACGTAAACCAGGTGAGCATTTTGGTGAGAGGTATTCAGATAGGACCAAGGTCAGAAGGAAGAGGAAGAAGTTTCATATGTCACATTGCCACACGTTACACACATAGACTGAAATTCTGGCACTGAGAACTGCTGTAGTTTGTTGTAAGTACTGTATAGATGATATAAGGCAACACTGATCGTTTTATGATGACGATATTTTATCCAAAAGAACGCATTTCCCACTTCAGGCGTAAGTGTGGGTATATTCTATTCACATGAATGCCGAAATGAGCTTGTAAAGTTAAATAACTTTTTATGTTGCTTTTTCCAGAAGGAAAGTATTTACTCATAAAGAAGTGAGAAGATTATTCCAGCCGCCCAAAGGTCTGAACGCGTTATTCCGTCTTAAACAAAGCAAGACGACAAAGCAGGTGACTATCGGTACTTTCTCAGCTCCCAGTGGGTGCCTTTTTCACGACAGCAGCTTATACAAATATATCCTGTTTATTAAAGTTAACTGTCAACAAAGAAGTGGTATTCTAGAGAACTAACCTCGACCAGGAAGGAAAACATATTTGCTAGGCACTGTCGACCTCCCTTGACTTCAATTTTCATGATTTCATTAACATTCCGTCATTGTAATGTGTGTCATTTTCTAGAACGTTAATATAAAGAGTATATATCTATTCTTTTAATACTTTATCTCTCAATTTATACCGAAATCAATCGGTGTAAAGATAATATTTCACTTTATCAAACTCTTAGATAGTTTTTCTCGCATGTGGATTTTGTTTATTTTAATTCACTTTTCATTTAATTTCAGTGCTTCGTAACAACCGTCTACGATGAAATTGGACGCACCCCCAGAAAAAACATCAGATTCGTGTTCGCCAGCGCCCTCACCCATGTCAACGTTGTCTTGCGTGTCGAAGTTTGTCGTATAGTCAACTTGTAATTTGATTTGGTTTGAAATGTTATATTTGCTTTGGTTTGTAATATTCTGCATCAAAACGTGTATCACATGAAGTGCAGCGTGTAACGAGTGTTTTATTCATGAAACTTCTGATAAAAGGGACCAAATCCAAGCGTCAACCCTGCACGTCGCTGGTTTATTATTATACATATGTAAATAAGTTGTAGTACAGCACTCTATCCGAACACGATGTTTTTATTGTAATTTAAAATTTTGTTTATACCGACCAGTTTTCGAATCTGAAACGACACCTTTGAGGTTATGCTAAAACAAAAAGAAGTGCCTTGCTCAAGTGATCTATGAAAATGAAAGTAATTGTAAAATTATCATTAAGTGATGTGCAGGTAGAGCACTGTGCTTAGTACGACCGGTTTAATGTTTTATTGTAAAATTACATGTGTGGGCAAATATGTAATAAGACGCTTTGTTATGCAATCGAAAATGC